TCAGGTGATCTTCAGAATCTGCCTGGACAATTCAAATTAAAGTGATTCAGTTTCCTGGCATGGCATACTGTCCAGGTTTCATGGGCGTACAACAATGATGTCAGCGCAATGGATCTGTAGATGTTTGGTCTCAGAACACCTGGGTCCTTCCACTTCCTACCTATGTGGACTTAGACAAATCATTTAATCTCTCTGGGCCTCAGATACTTCATCTATAAAATAATGGGTTTGACCAAGATAAGCCCCTGAGATTCCTTCTATTTTTCAATCTGTGATCTTGCCAACACCTGTCCTTCCTATCTAGCATGGTTGTGGAGGATCAGGAGACCTCATGTATTGGAAAACAGTTTTGTGAACTGAGAAGCACTGTAAGAATGCTTTTATCTGTGTGTTTTCCATTGGGAAGATTCTAATGAGTCAGGAACCCTTGAGACGTGATCCTGTAGTGTCAAAGGACTCTGACAGCTCACATGTGTGACCTTGGACAAGAGATCTGGGGCCTCATCTGTAAAAGGGGGGGGGGGGATTCAATGACTTCTGTGGTGCCCTGTAGCTCTAAGTTCATGAACCTGTCTAAAGACCACAATGACTAGATGACCTCTCAAGGTCACCAGCAGCTTTCTGTGACTAGAAATCACATACCAGGTATTAGAAAGTTTTATGAAACCTGACCTAATTTAAGAAAGATCCCGCCCTCTTGTGTCTCGGGGAAGCTGGAGTCAGTATTTTGTTTTGCCTCTTTCCCTCAAGCAATCAGACTGTAACCTGATTGTTTTTACTGAGTGTGTGTTATTAGTCGTCCACGAAAGGCACCACTCCAGTGCCTCTGTGGTGTTCACTCAAGGTCACCCAAGGAAGCATGAGGCTGAGTTACTTTGAGCTTTATAAATTAATGCTACTTTAATCATTTATTCAGTGAGCATGAATGGACTATTCTCCTAAAGATTATTACAGTCCCGGAATTTGACTTTATCTGAAATGGTTCTGAAGTGATCGAATGACAGCTTTAAATCTGTCACTGTAGATTTTAAATTATTTACAGCTATGTGAGGCCAGTGCTTTAACAGTTGGTTTATGATGTGATTTCAGCTTAACACTTCTAAATGTGGTCTCTCTGCTCCTGCAAAACCAACAGAAATCCACCAAGCTTTTTAACGAGGATCCCAAAACAAATGAAAAAGTGATCTCCATGGCATAGTTTGGCTTTTATTGTCCTCTTTTTACTTTCTTTTTTTTTTATTGTTCTAAATTTTCTCTGCTTACCTGCTCTGGAATGACTACAAGTCAAAATGACAGACTCATAATATGGGACACATAGCTTGGCTTCCTGCCTTCTCTCCTTCCTACTAGGTACATGTTGTTACTATGGATCTGAGGGCTCAAGTCTGCCCATAACTCTGAGACAACTTTTGGCCTAGGCTGAAAGATTTTCCAGGCTCACAGTGTCAGAGGCGTGGTATCTAGCTCAATTCGACTGCAATTCAGACAGTAAATCATAACTTTAGAGACTACAGCTACTTTTCCAGACCAAGTATATGGAATGGGAATGCAATAGTTCTGACCTTTCATCTTTCAGGATCTCCCATATCTCTAGCCCTTTATGCTTAGTTTGAGCGCTTATTGCCTGACTTCCGTAGGCTGTATGTCTTTTTCAGGCTTACATCCACAATTCTGCCCATTCCATCATGCTTTAGCCAACTTCCCTGGACTACGAAATATTTAATCCTTTTGTGGTTCAAGGTCATGACAGCCTTCTCCTCCTTCTAGAGTGAGGTAATGGAAGACCTTTGATTCTGAGTCAGAGAATTTAAATTCACAGTAACCTCCTTGGGCATAAATTTCCTCATCAGTAAAAGGGTCTCAATGACCTTGGAGCTTCTTTCCAACTGTGATCCTAGGAGCTTTTCTGCTACTTGCTACCTGAGTGGCCTTAGGCTAAAGTTTGCATTTTGCCTCCAATCAGCCCTGGTTATCTTCAGATATGTAAGGACAAAGAAATGCTCATCTCAGAGACAAGGCTATCCAGTGCAGATGTGCAGTCTGCTGGAAGCACTGCCTTTGAGGGCAACTGGCTGGTGCAGTAGATAAAGAGCCAGGCGTGAAGTCATCTTCCTGAATTCAAATCTGGCCTCAGACACTTTCTAGCTGTGGGACTCTGAGCAAGTCACTTAACCCTGCTTGCCTCCATTTCCTCATACGTAAAATGAAGCAGAGAAGGAAATGGCAAACCACTCTCACAAAGGGTCTGACACAACTGAAACAACTCAACAATAAGGATCAACTTTTTTCATAAAATCCTTTCTGCCTACCCTAGGCCCCAGTTTAAAAAAAAATAATAAAAATACAAAGATCATTACCTTTAAGCCATATTACTCATACCAACATTGCATTTCATGATTTACGAATATTTGTTAGAAAGAGCTTCCATGGTTAACTTTATAAAAAGAGCTTTGTTCTCAAAGTTTTCATTAGTTAAAATGTCACTGCACAATATTCACTGCTTTGGAATGTATTTCATTCTTTTTTTGATTTGGTTGATCTAATTGCAGAAATAAATGATTTTTAAAGTCCACTTTTAAAAACTCATGTCAGTAATAATATTGCCAGGTTATGAGTAATGGGAAGTAATGTTTTATTACAGGATCAGAGACCTAGAGTTGGAAAGGATCCTAAAAGTCATCTTGTCCAACCCCCTTATTTTATAGATGAGGAAACTGAGGCCTGAGGAGGTTAAGTGACTTCCCCAATGTCACAAAGTAAACGACAGAATCAATAAAACTTAGGTCCTCTGATTTTAAAGCATTCCTTCCCCTGCACCACACTGGCTACTTAATTAAATTATCCTCACAATTAACCATATAACCTTTCTAGACTCCCAGGATGAAAGGCATCTTCTTTTTTACAATAAGCCATATGAGATGCTTTTCATAGAGAGATATGTAGGTAGAAAAATGAATCAAATTAGTATTCTAGCAATAAATTAGCATTAACAGCTTAATAGTATGAACATTGGCATTTGAATCTTTTCAGAAGAGTTGTGGCATGGCAGTCAAAACATCTGGAATCCATCTTTGTTTCTGTCTCTGGGTTTTTGGCAAGTTGTCAGCCTCTCTGGCTATTAGCTATCATAACTGACCTTTAGATCTAGACCCATTCCTTGACTTAATTTCCCCTGACAATTTACCAAGACAAGGTATCTTTTCTTGTGCCTATAGTTGAGAAAATGCATTATAATTTTGAAAATCTCTAGTGGCAGCATTCTAAAAGACCATGATGTAGAAATGTTGCTCAGTAAAAGTCTGTCAACAGAACATGGTCATGTTTCTCTTTTCTTTGTCTTTCTCTATTTTTCTCTGTGTTGATATATCCCTCTCTTTCTTATTGCTATCCTTCTTTCTTTCTCTATATCCTTTCTGCCTTATTCCTTTGAACTGACCGTAATATAGAACTGAAGTATGAGTTTTTAAAAATTAATGCTTCAATATATTGGCCATGGACAGACCACTCAACCTCTCAATTTGCTCATCTCTATAAAGTGGGAATAATCATACTTTTATTACCTATCTTACAAGGTTGTGAAAAAACACTTTGTAAATCATAAAATGTCACATAAAGTGAATTAATATTAATCAATAGTATGTTTCCTGTTCTTCATCAAAAAAGTGGTTTTCATTTGTCTAATTTTTTAAGTTTTTTTTTAACTTGTGGGGCTCTTTATTAAGTCTCTCCATGACCCTTGATAGGAAAAATATAATCTACCCCTTTACTAGAAAATAGCAATACCCTTCTTAGAAATCTCCAAATGGATGGATTCTTATGGTTTCACATTTTGCCATAAATTTTAATGAAGAAGAAATTAGATCCATAATTATGAAATCTGGACAGTAAATCTAATGCCTGATCTGATTTATCTGAATTTTCTGATATCTTTATTTTAGGTATTGATGAGCATAAGGGGAAAAAACAGGAATTGACAGCCTTATCATCCAAATTTGGGAAGACATTGAAGTCCAATTTCATCATCTAGAGTGTGGGATTTAGAGATGGATAGGACCTTGGTGATCTCTTCCTTCCCTGCTCTCATATTGAATGATTCTAGATACTAATTAAACTATGGGAGGTAGCATAGTACCATGATACTCTAGAAATTAGGGCTGAGTTTAATTAGAAATATTCCTGAGGCTGCTGACCCTGAGCTCCAACTTTCTCACAGATCTTAGATTCAGATCTTGTCAATAGTATCCCTTGCAATTATGCTCTGGAAAGTCTTACCCTGGAGAGGGTAACTATGTAATGTCACGGCCTTTTAGAATCCATTGTTCTCATGACCAGACCCAGCCTGAAGGAAGAAGCAGCTAGGGGTCTACAGAGCTAGAGTGTCCTGGGCAATTGTGTTGCCATTCCAGGAAAGGGTACCTCATAATATCTCTGTATGTGAAATGTATTTAGTTAATACTAAATAGTATTAGTTAATACTATTTAGTAATAGTTCTGAGTGCTGTACAGGAAAACTTTTTTTGATGTGATTTATGTTCCTCAAATTTTACAGCACATTTCTGTGAATTTATTGATAAATTTGCACACTTTGTTTTATGATCCCAACTTTATTTTCCTTTATGATTTATCACTAGAGTTCACCCATAGCAGTATTTGTATAAAATTAGGGCTGTCAATTTTCGTTTTAAAAATCGGCATCTTGCTGTTGGTGTTCAAATACAACAGGGAGCGCCAATGTCAGTGTTTCTTTGAGCACTAATTTTACGCAACATTATATGGAATATCCACTTCCAGCGCCCTAGGATACCTTGATTTGGCCTACCCTTGTTCAGCCAAATGTCTGTCACTGGAGTAAGAGGACATGAATTAGAAAAGAAATCCCATCATCCTAACAAACTACTCAAGTCTATGCTGCCCAGTTGGAGGTATCCAGTAGCATGGTAGCTTTCTATGACTTTCCATTATTTTTAAATTTCTCTTTTCTTGTTTTTAACATTTCCCAGATGTTGGAGCTTTTTTTGAAGAGGGAATGTGGCTACGGTATAACTTCCAAGCAGCAGTGGCCAAAGATGCTGCCAGTCGAAGTGGGAACTCTCCTGACTCTCAGAACGCCACACCAGACCTGGCCAATGAAGAAGTCTGTTTTAGCTTCAGTACCACCAAAGCTCCCTGCATCCTCCTCTACGTCAGCTCTCACACCACAGACTTCCTGGCCGTTCTGGTTAAACCTTCTGGTAAGGATTTCTACACTTCTCCGGGTCATGTTTCACCTGTGCTAGAATTTTCAGAAATTCTCAGATGATGAGAAGGGTTGTGCTCACCTGGGTAGTGGAGGAGGATCTCTAAGGAGGAACACAACATGTGCAATCTCAAGGCCAGACCAGGTCAAATAGCAGAGGGGCAACAGCTGATGCCAATACCCAAAAGTTGGAATGAATGAGAGAACTAGCACTGTTTAGAGTTTGGACTTAAGGAAGTCTGCTTGAATTTCAGGAGCTAAAGTTCAGGGAACATCACATCATTGATGCTTTGTCCAACTCAAGCTGCTTCTCAGAACTCTGCTGGCAGTGATATGCCAAGGGGTCCCACTTCAGGCTCAGACACCCTGCAATTCCACTCAATAAGCATCAATTAGTTGGTTATTATGTGCAGAACATTGTGCCAGGACATCCTGGGGTAGGAAATTTAGATGGCATGGTCTTTACTTTGTGGGTCTTACAGTCTAAGATGGATAGATATAGTTTTTGCTTTTCTCTGTATCTCCAGCACTTAACACGGTGCCTGGAAAGCTTACTAAATACTTGTTGATTGACCAAGGAAAAAGGATGATGACTCAATCTGTGATTTCATTTATATAAGGGACCCCCCAGCAAGGAAAATCCCTCTACTAATGCATGTCAGTAACTTCTCTGTGCCTTAAAGTCTTAGAGAGTTGCCTAGAATACTGTAAGGTTAATTAAATGGCTTGCCCACTATCACATAACCATTATGTTGATTTGAACCCAGGTCTTCTTGGCTTCAAGGTGGATTCTCATGCCCTATATCAAACTATCTCCCTATGACTTATATAAGAAAGAGAATGTGCATTTGTGTAGTGCCCACTATGTGCCAAGCACTTTTTAAAAATATTATCTTATTCCACCCTCACAACAACCCTGTGAGGTACTGTTACTATCCAAATTTTATAGATGATGAAACCAAAGAAAACAGAAGTTAAGAAAGCTTCATGGAAGAAGTGACATTTGATTTAGATTTTAGAGAAGGAGTAAGAATTCAACAAGTGAAGAGGGGAAAGCAGCACATGAGTTTGATGTTGAAACAAACTTACCTGAAGCATCAAATCCCTACATACAGAAGAAATGCAAGTGTGATCACCATCTTCACTTTGGGTTTTCTTCTAGTGATTCTGATGGGTACTATATGTTATGTCAGTGCTTTGTTTAAGTTACCACCATTTAACAACATGACAGTTAAAAAAGAATTTATTTAAAAAAATTTAAAAGCTTACAAAACTCAGAAAATTTTATTTAAAAATTGCAAAATGAAATAGCCTCAGATATCTGAATTATATAATTATGTAATGAAAAAGGAAACTGAAGTTTGTTGTTAAGCACTTTACAAGGTAAATTATAAAGTCTAGTATAAAGTCCCAATAATAAGACTTTCTTTAGTAGAATGCAAGCTCCATGAGGGCAGGGATTATCTCATTTTTGTATTGGTCTCTCCAGTGTCTAACTGCTTGGGATACAAATCCTGGTATACAAGTGCTTAGTTAATGCTTGTTGATTTATCCTCACTAGCTAAATTACTTGTAATATGTTAGATTCACACATTCATACACACATACACACACACACACACACACACAAACTGATTTGAAAATTTAAGATTTCTTAAAATCAGCCTTATGCTATTTGGCACCATTAGTGGTGGGCATTTAAAAATACATATTTTAGAATTTTATTTACTAGAATTTCACCAAAGTTCTGTCTGAAGTGAAGATCTCCAGAATGAAACTTCTCCTTTTCCATCCAATAACCTACCTCCTCATTATTCCACTTTTGCTATTGTTGTTCAGTCATTTTTCAGTCATGTCCAACTCTTTGTGACCCCATTTGGGGTTTTCTTGGCAGAGATACAGAAGTGGTTTGCCATTTCCTTCCCAGCCTCAAACTGAGGCAAACAGGGCTAAGTGACTTGCTCAGGCTCACATAACTAAGTGTCTGAAACCAGATTTGAGGCCAGGAAGATGAGTTTTCCTGACTCAAAGCCTCTACCCACTGTCACCAAGCTGCACCCCCATCATCCCAGCTGTATTGTTATTGTCTTAGCTGCAGCAGTCAAACTCTGTAAATTTATGTAGAGGGAAAACAAGTCCCTGGAAGACATATGGATGGTTACCTTAATGTCCCACTGTTATTTCAAATTCACCCTTAGTAAAACTCCACTCAAGAGTGTGCTCAAACTAGCTTCCCCACCTTCCATACAAACCCATGTCTTTCAATGGTGCTGCCATTTTCCCAGTCACAAAGGTAAAATAACCTTGGAATCACCTTGGACTCTATCCCTCTGCCACTGGCCTCCCCTCCCCCCTCCTTTCTTCACCAATCCAAACCAATCATTCACCAAGTCCAGTAAGTTCTTTTGTGAAATATTTTACATCCATCCCCTTATTTTCATTCACTCTACCAATATCCTAGTGCAAGTCCTTATCACCTCTCACTAGTACTAATGTGATCATCTCTTGTTTTCCCCTGTTTTTAATCCAGGGATTCTTAAACTTTTTCCACTCCTGACCCCTTCAGTATCTCTTAAACTATGGGTCACGACCCACAGTCTCTGCCAAATTCATCTACCTAAGACACTGCTTTACATTATTTTGCCTATTCAAAACCTTCAGTGGCTCCCCAGTACCTATGGGATAAAATCTAAATTCCTTAATCTGGAGTTCAAGGCCTTCCATAATCTGTCCCCTAGATGCCATCCTCATCTTACTTTCTGCCATTCCTGTACATGAATGTTTGTTTGAGCCAAACTGGTACATTCATTATTCACCTACCACAACATGCACCTACCAAAAAACAATTATAGCTAACATTTATATAGTGCTTACTATGTGCCAGGCACTGTGCTAAGTGGTTTATGATTATTATCACATTTTATCCTCTTGGAGGTAGGTGCTATTGTTATCCTCATTTTACACATGAGGAAACTGAGGCAAACAGGAATTAACTGACTTGCCCAGGATCACACAGCTGTTAAGTCTGAGGTCACATTTGAACTCCTGACCTGGCTCTTAATCCACCACACCACCTAGATGCCCCTAGCCTTTTGTTTATATTCTTTCTGCTTCCTAGAACACCTTTTATCATCCTTTTTGTTTATTTCAGTTCTATTTTTCCTTCAAGGTCCAGCTCTGAATTCCAAACTTCTCTGTGAAGCCTGCCTCTGTCTGGCCCAGTGCACACTGGTTACTTCCACCTCTGAGCTCTGTGAGCACATGTCAACATTCTTCACTAAGTGCCCAGCACAGGCTGTCTCATATTGGCCTTTGTCTTATTTGTCAGATCTTTCTGTCTAGAGTACAGGCTCTTTGACTACAGAATCTTTCTTGTTTTTTCCTTTTTTTGGTGAGGCAATTAGGGTTAAGAGACTTGCCCAGGATCACACTGCTAGTAAGTGTCAAGTGTCTGAGGTCAGATTTGAACTCAGATCCTCCTGACTCCAAAGCCAGAGCTTTATCCACTGCTCCACCTAGCTGCCCCTGACTGCACAATCTTTTAAAGTTATTTTAAATTGTACCCTCCAAGTTTCAGTGCCCAGGAACAAAGCCCTATTCACCTCATTCAAGTTACATCCCTAATTTTTAGGACTTATACAGTGTACTATACTCACTTATATTCCATAAATATGTATTAATGATGATGGTGACTAAGAAAAAAAGAACTCTGTCAAGTACATCATTTACTATAGACCCTCAGATAGAAATAGTTTATGATGGTTTTAATTCATTCAGGAGATGAATGTGAGATCAATGAAGTATCTCTCTCTTTTCATCACTATATTTTAATGGTTAAACATTAATACTCTCCTATCATATTGCCATCCTCTTCCTGTTACTGGAAGTATTTTAAATACATCATTTGAAATTTATTACTTAAGTATATTTGAATAACCATTTTGAGCCATTCACCATATTCTAGCTTCCTAACTCTCATATCTCCCTCAGAACAAGTTATTTCTGTCATTTTTAAAGAATGAAACCATAAAAATGTAAAATTTTAAAGAAAACAAAAAAAATTTGACAAAATAAACCAAAAGCCAATTTTACTACAGTTATGAAAGCCTGGAGGTATACATAAAAAGGAGAATTTAAGGGTAAACACATCTAGACATTAACATAAATGTGAATTCTCCCCTCCCCCACCTCAACAGCAATCAGCCAATGAAATTGTATTAAGTACCTTCAATGTGCCAGGCACTGTGCTCAGTGTTGGGAATACAAAGAAAGTCAAAAGACAGTCTCAGCTCTCAAGAAGCTCACAGTCTAAGGGAGAAGGCAACATAGGAGCAATTATGGACAGACAAGTTCTGTACGGGATAAATTGGAGGTTATGGGAAAGGCAAGGTAATGGAATTCAGAGGGAACATCAAGGCCTTACTTGAAATGTGGAAAGCAAAATTTTAACTAGATTTGAAGGAAACCAAGAAATGGACATAAGGAGAGAAAGAATTCTAGGCATGGGGGCCAGCAAGTGAAAATGCCCAGAGTTGGGTGTTAGAGTATCATATGCCAAGAACAGCCAAGTTCAGTATCACTAGATAGAAGAGTACAGTGGGGAGGGAGGTGTAAGGTAAAAGAATACTGGAAAGGTGAGGGCAGGGTGGGCAGGCTTTAAAGTGCTTTAAACACCACACAGAGGGTTTTATATTTAGTCATGGAGATAATAGGGAACCACTGGAGACTGGTTTTTGGTGGGGTTTATTGCGGGGAGAAGTTTGATGTGGTCAGATCTGTGTTTTATGGAAGTTGAATTTGGCAGCTGAGTAGACTGAAGGGGAGAAGCAAGGAGATCAACCAGCAGGATATTGCAATAGTCCAAGCATGAAGTGACGAGGGCATGTCGCAGGGTGGTAGCAACATCAGAGGAGAGAATGAGACACATATGAGAGAAGTTACAAAGGTACAATGGACAAGCTTTGTCAACAGATTGGATATGGGGGGTGAGAAACAGTAATGAGTCAAGGATAACACATAAGTTGCAAGCCTGGGGGCTGGTGGTAATACAGTAATAGGGAAATTAGGAAGAGGGGAAGGTTTGGGAGAAAAAATAATTTCAATTTTGAGTTTAAGATGTCTGTGGGACATCCAGCTTAAGATTTCCAATAGACAGTTGGAGATGTAAGACTAGAAGAGGTCAGCAGAAAGGTTAGGACTGGATGAGTAGATTTGAGAAACATCAGCATAGAACTGATAACTGAATCCATGGAAGCTGATGAGACCACCCAGTGAAATTGTATAGAGAAGAGAAGAAGGCTCAGGACCGAACCTTGTGTAACATCCATGATTAGTGGGTATGACCTAAAGATCCATCAAAGGAAACTGAGAAGGAGTAGCCAGATAAGCAGGAAGAGAACCAGGATAAAGTAGTGTCATGGAAACCTGGAGAGAAGGAGGTATCAAGAAGAAGAGGGTGAGCAACCGTGTCAAAAGCTACAGAGGTTGAGAAGGGTGATGAATGAGAAAAGGCCATTACATTTGGCAATTCAGAGATCACTAGTAACTTTGGAGAGAAGAGTTTCCTTTGAGTGAAGTCATAAGCCAGACGGTAGAGTTAAGAAGAGAATGAGAGGAAAGGTAGTGGCACCTACTGTAGATGGCGCTTCTCAAGATGTTTAGCCACAAAAGGCAAGAGAGATACAAGTTGATAATGAATGAAAATGGAAAGATGAGGTGAGAAGGTTTTTTGTTGTTGTTGTTGTTTTGTTTTGTTTTATTTTTAGAATGGGGGAGATTTGGGCATGTTTGTGGGGAGTAGAGAACCAGCCAGTAGAAAAGGAGAGATTAAAAATAAGTGAGATTGGGAATGAGAGGGACAATCAGCTACAGGAGATGATGGAATGGGATCATTTGTGCAAGTAGTACTTATTTGCTTGAACAAACAAAGTTTGCTTTGGTAATGAGAAGGGCTATCTCAGTACCACAGAAGGCTTCTATGAGATGTGAGTTGAGAAGCAGGGGAGAAAAGATGAGTGTAGAAGAGGCATAAAGCAAAGAAATTGCTAAGACTCTCCACTATTTTTTTACACAGGAACTTACAGATTTAATACAACCTGGGAGGCAACAGAGAGTGATATAATATTGGTGTAGACCACTTGTCAATGGCTTCAATTTTTTCAGTCAAATATGAGGCAAGGTTTTCTGTTGAAAGGGTGCTGGAAGGGTTTATGTGAGGTTTAAGGGGGGGAGAGAAAGTTTTGAAAAGCCATTGCAATTAGTCGAGAAGTGTTTCAATTAGGGAGGTATAAAGGACTGCTTTGCTGCAGAGAGGGTGCAGTTGAGATTACATAACATAAATTTGTAGTGCATCTAGTCAGCCCACTAATTTTCCCTTGCTTTATTCAGGAGCATGTAAATAAAAATGAAGGCAGTAGCTGGTAGCTGAGGCTTGTCAGGGCAATATAGAAGTAAGATTTCCACAGAGCAGGAGTGGCAACATTTCATGGCAGGACAAGTGAAATAGAACTTGGAAATAGATTCCATAATTAGCATGTAACCTGCTAGAGAATCTACTTCCTGAATTTCACATTAAAAAAAAATTCCCTAAGTTAGGTATTCCTTTAACAAAGTGAAATAAAATAAAATAAAATAAAATAAAATAAAATAAAGACTATGTTTGCACAATTCAAAGTGACCAGATGAAATCTTCAACCAATTCGTCAGTCAACTAGTTTTGACTACATGGTGTCAAAAAAAACCTTATAAATTATTTTAAGGAATTTTCCTGAGGCAGGAAAGGCAGCATAGAGCAGCAATTTGCAAACTGGCATGGGAGGAAAATGAGTTCAAATTTGCCTCTGACACATAAATGGCTGTGTTACTCTCAGCAAGTCACTTAACTTCTCAATGATCTACACAACTCATTGAGACTTTAAGTTACAGAGAAAGTACAGAATTGTACTGGTGAAAAAGATTTATTCACCTTCGAGTTTCCTATACCAAGAAAATCACAGTTCCAGACCCTATTCCCTCTTCCTTAGGGCATAAAATGGAAGAAAGATGGACTGGTCATATAGCAAGAACAAGAGATAACTGATGGAGCATGTGTGTGTGTGTGTGTGTGTGTGTGTGTGTGCTTTATTTATATCTACATCATGTCAGGGGATCCAGGTAGAGGTTCCTAACATTTTGGAGGGCATAGATCCCTTTGTCAGTCCAGTGAAGCCTATGAACTATTTTTCAGAATTTTTTTAATTCATAAAATAAAATACATAGGATTTCCAAGAAAAACAATTAAATGGAAATAAAGTTGTAATTCTTCCCATCCAAGTTCATGGACCACCTGAAATCTATACATTGACCCCAAGTTAAGAGTCCTGATCTAGAGAAAGTATCCCAACAAATTGGACCAACACCTAATCATATAAGAGAGACCCACTGTCTAGGCAGAAATAGATAGTTTTGTCTACTCTCTGGAGGAAGTACCCACATGGATGAGATCACAGTTCCATTAAAGTATGGATGATTGAGTATAAAATAGATCCAGCCTATGGGTATAAGAAAACCTAGGGGAAAGTATAAAGAAATTCAGGAGGCTGAACATAAATAAGAAAGTCATGGAGTATCATATATAGACAGACAGACAGACAGAGTTTTAAGGAACAAGAAGAGAAGAAAAAACAGGAAATATGGTTAGCTCTTTATTTTCATCAGTCCTGCTTTCCAGTGTAGCAATGTCATCATGTTGCTTAAAAGCAAGCAGAATACTAAATTGCTTAAAAAGGAAATGATAGCATAAATAACATTAATGACCATAGCACATCAGAACCAGAAGGGACATAGAATCCACCTAGAATGGCCATTTATACCTGGTCAGAGGATCCAGAGAGGAATGGAGCCATTTTTTGAGTTTCAGAATTTGGAAGAGATACTAATGGTATGGAGAACAGACCTTGCATAGAAAAGGAATAACTGAATCCACATTTTGTGATATTATGATTACAAAGTGCTTTACATGAAAGATCTCATTTGATCTTTATTTTTTTTTAGAGGCAATCGAGATTAAGTGACTTGTCCAGGATCATATAACTAAAAATTGTCTGAGGCCACATTTGAACTCAGGTCCTCCTGACTCCAGGGCTGTTGATCTTTATAACTTCTATTCATGGATGAGGACACCTAGGAGCCTCAGAGAGGTTAATTGTCTGACATAAATCTTGCCTCTCTCTGACGATGCTCTGCACACAGACAGTGCTTAATAAATGTTTGTTAAATGACCTGCCCAAGTTCACACTTCATAGTCTGGAATTAGACCTACAACTGGAACCAAGGTCTCTTAAATCTGCATATAGAGTTCCCTCCATTACACTATGCTATCTTCTGCTATAGAGTAGTGGAAAAAGTGCTGAATCCAGAGTCCAGAGAACTTGATTCAAATCTTACGTCAGCCACTTACTATCTGTGTGATCTTGGAAAAGTCACATCCTTCTGGGCCTCATTTTCCTCATCTAAAAAAATGAATGAGATTTCTCCCTAAGGTCACTTCCAGGTCCAAATACCATAATCTTTCATCATAAAAACAAATCCTTTGATCTTTAAAAATCATAAATAAAGAGGAAACAAAGTCTATGACTATTATTCAGATAAACTGAAATTACTAAGTAGATTATCCCCTGGTTATTTTTTAGAAAGATGAGAAAGAGATAAATGAGAGAGGAGAGGGAGGGACAGAGAGAAAAACAACTGAGTGTGGAAGGTGGGGGAAGCCCTGAAAACTTTCAGTCCCTTTTATTTGCATAAGGATTGATGCATCCTACAGAATAAAGGAAATCACCATGTTCATGGTTTCTTAGAGGCCACCAACATTTTCATCTATTTATCTTTTGTAAATTGTGTTGACTTTAATATTGTATACTCATGATTATTTTATGTGCCACATGCCTCGCTCTGCTTATAGCAGAAGAGCATCCCTACACCCTGTGTTTATTTCTAATTTCCAACACTTTTTGGTGACGCCTGCAGCAGTCTCCATAGTGCTATATTGCTACACTCATAAATTCTAGGCATAATCCCAACTTTTATAATTTGCACCATTTGCTGCTTTGACATTAAATCAATGGCCAGCAATGGCTCCTTGTTTGCAAATAACAAACCTTTGCCTGCCGTTAGAGCTTAGATCTCAAGGATTAGCATGACTCCAGACCAGTGCCTCAGAGTTCACAACCATCATATTATTAAGGCAGAATAAGATGGGGAAGAAGGCTTAAGAAGGGGAAAAAAAAGATGGGTATGTAAGAGGCATAAAGCAAAGAAATTGCTAAGACTCTCCACTACTCTTTTATACAGGAAACTTACAGATTCGATACAACCTGGGAGGCACCAGAGAGCCATATAATATTGATGTAGACCACCGAAACATGGCAAATGGACAGCCTCACAGTGTTAACATCACCCGTAATGAAAAGGACATAATTCTCCAGGTAAAAAAAAATATCTATATATAATACATTCTTTATATATGGCAACACTTATATTTTTATTGCTATTATTTCTTCCTTTACAATTTTATGACTAGTAAAAATATAGATATATAAGTCTTACAGAAAGGGCAATAACTAAGTTGATGGCTAAGACTATTGGGGTATGGATGTAGTGGAGAGACTGATAATGGGTACTCTTTTTTTTTTTTTTTTGGCTATCCCAATTTGGAGCTGTCTCTCAGTCCACTATTTTTATTACATGCTGTCTTTCTTATAGATGATCTCAGATTCCTGAAGTTTATACTGAATCCCAGCATGGGTTATTCTGGGTTTGGTTGCCCACTTCTTTCATTATTCCCACACACGTACAAATGTCTCTCTGTGACTCCTTCTCTCTTTGTTTCCTTCTCTCCCTCTTTGTTCTTTTCTCCCTTTCTGCCTTTACCCTAGTCTGAAAACCACAGCCTCACTTCCCCATCCCAGGAAGGTTCTGATTCCACTTCAGGCTCCAGAACACAAGGAGGTGGTGATTTTCTCATGTGACTTCCAATACATTCTTCTTCATTTATTGCCCCTACCCCACCTGTAGTTTCTACAGTGAAAGAAGTGGACCTGCACACCTCATGAATAAAACATGCCAAGGGCAGGTCTCCTTGGGAACTAAGCCGAAAGATCAAGGATGGGAGCTGTCATTGTATTCTCTAGGAGGAGATCAAAATAGATACCTGTCAGGAGAAAGGACAGCAGGGGATGCTGTCTTGTCAGTGGAATGTGGTATCATCTGGCAAGAGTTCAGTGGTCTTTCAGCTCTCATTCACATTCATACTGGCTGCGATGGGAAGTTCAGACTGCAGAAAAGTGGCAGAGGGTATTATTGCCTCTCTATTAAAGGGTCTGCTGGGTATCAAAGGCATAACTCAATAGCAAGGATGATTTAATCAGCCACATGCCTCTTTTGACAGTTAAGTGTTGTGGAAGGAGTACTCCCTCAGATATGGACACTAGCATTAACAGTTTTTTCTGGGACCGGTCCAAAGTTTTAACTGCAATGTACACATACTTTTCCAGACAATAACAAAATTTGTGCTTATTTGTAAACTGAATTTTATCCGGGGGAATGAATAAGTGAAGGATTAAATACCATATGACTTCCTAAGATTTATGCTTCAGTAATGTCCAATTCTTTGTGACCCTATTTGAAGTTTTCTTGGGAAAGATATTGGAGTAGTTTGCCATTTCCTTCTTCAGCTCATTTTACAGATGAAGAAACTGAGGCAAACAGAATTAAGTGACTTGCCCAGGGTCACAGAGATAGCAAGTGTCTGAGGCCAGATTTGAACTCAGGAAGATGAGTCTTCTTGACTCCAGGCCCAGAACTTTATCCACTGCACCTAGCTGCCCTTTCATAAGATTCCTTTTGCTAATTTAATTATATATGATTCTCCCCGAAACTGCACTGTCACTTCCTTCTAATTTCTCTATATCTTTTGATGGGATAAACATCCATGGAGTTGCCTAGGATCCTATCCTTCTTACTCTCCCTCTCCGCTTCACTCCACCCTACCCCCCCCCCCCCGTTCTGTTCATCAGCTGTCTCTCCACCTGGGCTTTCCTTCCTACTGAAGCCACCTTAATTGAAGACGTCATCTTTTCTGCTAAACTGTTCTAAGAGTCTCCTTACTTCTCTTCCTGCCTCTGGTCTCTGCTGTCTCTAATCCTTTCTTCACACCATTTTGTGGAAATCTTCCTTAGGAATCGCTTAGGGCATGTCACTCCTTTGTGACTGGACAACCTCCTGAATCAATGAGAAACTCTTGATCCCACAAGCATTTGAGGCCCTCTTCCATCTAGCTCTAACCAGCCTTTCTAGTCTTATCTTGTATTTTTCCCTTCACATATTCTGTCTTTTTATGTCTTTTTTTTCCAAGTGTCTCCCATGCCCTGAATGGATTAATCCTGAATGGCTCCCCCATTTGTAAAAGTTTCTCCATTCCTTCAAGGTCCAACTCACATACTACTTCCTCCATCAAGTTTTCTCTGAACAGCTGAAGATTATTTCTCCTTCTTCCTATTCCTCATGGTGACAGCTAGATAGCGCAGTGCCGGAATGGAGTCAGGAAGACTCATCTTCTTGAGCTCTAACCCAGCCTCAGGGTTTTACTAGCTGTGTGACCCTGGGAAAGTCACTTAACCCTGCTTGCCTCAGTTTCCTCATCTACTGGAGAAAGGAATTGAAAACCTCTCCAGTATCTTTGCCAAGGAAACCCCAAATGGGGCCATGAAGTATCTGACATAGTGTCTGACATGACTGAAACAACTAGGGAACAACAACCTACTCCTTCTGGCACTTACCTTAAACCTCTCCTTTACACTTGTGTTGTAGTTATTCATGTAAATGTCTTTCCCCCGTTACCCATACTCTCATACCAGCATACTCCAACCCTCCTTCCCTATAGTCTCCACCCATCCCATCCCTTTTTTGTGTTCCCTGTAACCCTAGTCTATTATTAACAAACTGCACTTTACCCTTGAGCTCTTCCTTTGAATCCTCTTTCCTTCTATTGCTAACTGAAACTTGGTTTTCCCCCACCTACGCCATATCTCTCACCACCCACTTCTTCTCTCATACTGCCCAACTCACAGGACCAGAAGGAGGGGCAATTAGCTTGTGCCTTGCTTTCTACCATTTCTATACCCTTCCTGTGCCACAATCACCCAACAACCACTCCCTCTTTGTAACAAAGTCCACATCCCACCATCTCTTGTTGTCATTGTTCGGTTGTTTCAGTCATGTCTGACTCTCCATAATCCCATTTGGGGTTTTCTTGGAATGGTTTGCCATTTCCTTCTCCAGCATGTTTTACAGATGAGGAACTGAGGCAAAGAGAGTTGAGTGACTTCCCCAGGGTGGCACACCTAAGCTATTGTCTGAGGCCATATTTGAACTCGTGAAGATGAGTTTTTTCTGATTCCAAACCCAAGGCTTTATCCATTGCTCTATTCACTGTGCCACCTAACTACTCTTGCTTCTATCCATTGATTTCCAGGCCACTCTTCTTCTCCTCTCATAGACTCCAGTGCCTGGCTCACAGTCTGCCTCTCCTCAAACTGCCATCATCTTCAGTGTCTTCAAAAGTCATACGGATGACCATTCTGTTATCTTGTCCACTTCATCATTCTCTTCAGTTCCCATTCCCTCTATTTATGCTCTACCTCAGCCAACCATAAGGATAATTATGCCTCGGAGTCAGAACTATTTCCCCTCCAAAATAGTGAAGTCATAATAAAATATTCCTCTCTGATCAAAATCTCCTGTCTCTCTACCACTCCCATTGCGTAAATGTTCCTGAGTCTGCTGTTCACCTTCAAACCAACCTCCATCTAGTCTCTCCTTGTTCTCCCAGGCCATCACCTCTGTTCTGGTTGAATTTCACTCCCTTGATATTCATGGCCATATCATACACCATTGCAGGAATTTACTGTCCTTCCATCCTTGAGTACCTTACTCTCTTGTTTCTGCTTTTTCCCACCCTGCTAATCTCTCTAAGAAGCCTAATGGGTAAAGCACTAGGCCTGAACTCAAGATCAGAGTTCAAATCCAGCTTGAGTACCCTTCTTTGCTGCACGACCCTAAGCAAGCCACTTAACCTCTCTTTGTTTCAGTTTCCTCTTGCTTAGATTGTTGTGTTACTCTTCTAACTTACTTCCTTATTTCCAGTCCCTCTGTTCTTTTAATCTTTCATGCAACTGACAAACCAAGCTTTTTAATGTACAGTTTTTATATTAGTCCCCTGCACCAGAATCAGCATTGGCTCCCCAGTGCCTTTAGGAGAAAACAGGGGTGCCTTAGCCCAACAGTTAAGTGCCTCTGTAATCTGGTTCTGACCTACCTTTCCGGTCTGATTGTTGCCTCTTCTCTCCACACATTCCATTGGAACTGCACTGTTCACTTTTCCTTGCTCTTGCCTCCTTGTATGTTCCCCTTTGCCTTGCATTTTCATAGTCAGTCATAAAATTTAGTGCTGGAACCAGACCTTAGAGGTCATCTAGCCTAATGCCTTTATTTTACAGACAAAGAAGGTGAGGTCCAGAGAGGTTTCAGTAACTTGCCTAAGGTCACACAACTCACAGATAGATTTCAAACACATTCTCTGAATCCATGTCAAAATCCATTTTCTGATTGAGCATTCTCATTTGCCTGGAATGTACTCCCTTCTCATCTCTGTAGAAATCCTTATCTTTCTTGGAGCTCCAATTCAGATGCCATCTATTTTGTGTTTTTGCATAAGCCCTGGTAATGATCTCTGCCTTGGCAACAGCAGGAAATGTCATAGATTGGCAAGCCTGAATTGGGGTGTCAGGACTAGTCTGCAAATCTCAGCCTAGTCAAGTTTCGTCCAGGCCCCTCAGTCCAGATCACTACAAGCTCTTTGAATCCAATCTCTCTATTTCGTTGTACTGTCTCTCCATATTACTCTTTATCCTTCCTCCACTAATGAGAGGAGTGAGGGAAGAGATGCAGAAGGGTAAGCTTACTGTGGAGGGAAAATAGATCAGACTCATACTGTCCTTATATTCCTTCTGTTGGTCCCCCCACCACCACCACCAATTTTCCCTTTCCCTCTTTATTGTGAGTATTCATGAATTCTCTTATTTATAGAGTCTTTTTAATCCTACAACCTATCCCTCCACTCCACCTGATGCTGTGGAACCCAACTGTATGGCTTCATTATACAACAGTATTTTTTTTCTTGGTGATATTTACTAATTCATCTTCAAAACATCTGTATCTTCAACTTGTTGTAATAACCCTTGGCTACAGTGGGGCACACTGGCATAGATATTTAAATAATCTCAAAGTAGTATAAGTCAACTTTCAATAATTCATACTAATGGTGGAGAGCAAGGGTATGGATAATATGAAGCATGCAATCATCTGAAATCATTATGGAATGCAAATCATTTTGGAAGAAGACCTTTGGAATACATTATGTGATGTT